GCAAATATAAAATGTAATTGTTGAGAGACCTTGCTGCTGTTTTTCTAGGGAGTCTGAGGGTCAGCAATGTCATAGCAGAATCCCAGGTATGTTATTTCCCAGTGCCCCCACAAACAAAGATGCTTGAAACAGCAACAATTTGGTAGATGCATAGTTTAGGGGCCCAGAAACTTGAAGCCAAGGACTTGGCAGGCCACTGTTCACTCCAAAGCCTCTTCTGGGGGCCCTGGGCACTCCCTGGCTTGTGGCTGTGCTGTAGAAGTCATGTCTATCCAAGTTTTTCCTGTGCGCATTTATGTCTTTTTTCTTCTCAGGACACAGTCGCACTGAGTTAGTATTGCTTCTTTTTTGTGTGTGACCTAGGGGATTGAACCCAGAGCTTTGGCATGGAGCTACACCCCCAACCCTTTTTACTTTTTATTTTGAGACAAAGTCGCATTAAGATGCCCGGTCTGCTGACATCACAGAAGCCTGCCCCCACGCCTGGCTGGCTTTCTTCCCCATGAACTGCATGCATCTGCAAAGATACTCCTTGCAAATAAGGGCACGTTTATAAGTCCCAAGGAGAGGAAAAGCTTGAATTTATCTTTTGAGTGGCACAATTCAACCCAGTGAGCATTAGGAAATACTACAACTTAATTAAAGAAAAAGTTAAAGAGGAAAATGATTAATGTACCCCGCCTTCCCTCTGGCTACGTGCAGATGGTAGGTGAGAAAAGACTGGGAAATTTCTTGGGAGCTCTTCCAGGCATGGGGTAGATAACAGTCCCTGAGTCCAGGGAGGGCACAGGGCACTCAGGAAGGTGGAGCCTCAGCGACAGCTCCTGCTTTAGGATCCTCTTCCTCGAGCTCGTCCAGTTCATGGTCATCAGTGCACAAGTTTGGTTTCTTTGGTCAGGAGCTCTGCGGAACCACAGAGGCACCTGCTTCCTGGCATGGTCCTGAAGCTTGCGTGGAAACCTTGCTACGCCCTCTGGACTCCTATTTAGAATTTAGTCTTAGTTCCTAAAAGCTGTGCGATGGCTGAAGCCATCTTTCCTTGTAAATCATCTGTAGACTGCAACCTGGTGCATGGGGAGTGGTCGCTTACAAGGAATCTGCTGTGTTCACAAAAAGTTTTCGTTTCTATGTCACAGGTAAGAAATCAGGAGTTTCCCACATGAGTGCTGGGCAGGGATCACACAGCAGGGACACAGACAAACAAGGAACTGAGCCCGACTCTTCTAACCTTAAGCCCTGGTGGTCTCCCTTCCATCTAGATGTTCGCTTGTCTCTCCCTCGGAATTCATTGATGGAGACTTTAATTCCCAGGAGGTGATATTTGGAAATGAAGGAAGAAAGTGGCATCCTTGTGAATGGGATTAAGAAGAAACAAACAAGAGAGCTTTCTCCTGTCCGTAAAAGATACAGCAAGAACAGAGCTGTATGAAACCCAGGACGAGAGTCCTCTTCAGACTTCCAGTCTGACTCTGACCCTGTCCTTCCTGGACTCCAGAGCCGGGAGTATATGTGGTGTTTAAGTTCTGTGACTTTGGTTGCCTTAGCGCAACAGCAAGAAAGACAGAGATGATGCTTCTCCAGGGGAACAAGGGGCGGATAAACACAATTAAAATATGCTATGCATGTGTGCCAGCTCCTCAGGATGAATATGATTATTATGTTTTTACAAATGTCTGTTGATAAAAGAATAACTTTTTTTTTTTAAACAGAGAGAGAGGAAACAATAACACAGTCTATATGGGGAGAAGTTTCTGTCTGGGAAGAAAAGAAGATTCAGGGGTTCAAAGACTTCTGTCCAGAGCTGATTGAATTGCAGTCAAGTTCAGGAAAAGGTAAAACGATCCATCCAGCCTCAGTGAAATCCTCACCCCTTTCTGTTCCCACGGGTCTGGAGTTGACAGAAACATTCTCAGAGTGGGCGTGAGCGGAGAGGGCAGGACCCTGGCAGAGGCTCCCAGGGTTCAGCTTTCCTTGTCTGCACTGAGTGTCATCATCAACGAAACAGCTATGGGGAAGGGGATGTTTGGAATGGGAGGGTTGGACGTTTATGAGCTGGACAGCCTCCTTCGGTCCACCTCACCTTCGCAGTTCCCTTAGCCACCTGCCAATCTCGCTACCTGCCTGGAAACCGTGGAGCACGACTGGAGGAGGGTTTGCTACGGTTTCTTTCTTCAGTGCACCCTGTGCTTCAGGGTCTGGCATCCCAGCCACACCCATGTGCCTTGGGATTCATGTGGATCGAAGTCACCTCGGCCTGATCAGGGCCATTGATTCACGGGCTCAGGGTGGGGTGCAGACTGCAAAAAGCTGAATTCCCTGGCTTCTCTGCCAAATTAATCATCTGGCTCGTATAAATGGAAGCATCTAAAAGCCACTGATGGTGAATGAGAACAGGGTAAGGCATTTACACATAACTACTAATTCTCAGTTGCTGCAGGGCACTGCTGGGCATGCAGTAGAGATGGGTGATAATGGTTGTCCCAGAAGATGGACCGGGACTGGGGAGAAGCCCTGGCACAGGGAAGCCAGGGTTATGGTGGGAAGAGCTGGGCTCCTCAGCAGCCTGGGGGTCTTTGGAGGGGGAGCTGCCTGCTCGCAAAGCCCCTGCACATCTGAGCATCTCGGCCCACACTCTACGACCTGCTGCCTGGGTGTAGCACTGGTCCTGCCCGGTCCTAGGCTCCTGTGAACCCCAGCTGCTGTATGAAGAATGCTAGCACTGATCAAATGGTTCCCAGCCTGTGGAGCTGCTGTAACAAAGTAGTTTAGACAGCAACTTATAAATAATCAAGATGTATTTCTCACAGTTCCAGAGGCTGAGAAGCCTAAATCAAGGTGCCAATGGATTCAGCCATTGTCCTCACACTGCAAAAGGGACAAAGCTCCCCTTGCCTCCCTTTATAATCTCTTTCACGAGGGTAGAATTCTCATGGCTCAATCTTTTCTCCACAAACCCCACTTCTTAACAGCTGTCCCACTGGCTGTGCGGTTCCAACATGTGAATTCTGGAGGAAGACAAATAAAGTGATTTGCCCAGCCAGTGGTGGCACCAGGTTGACAGCAGAGATGGGGAGCTGGGACCTGCTTCCATTTCTCCAATCTGACCCCACAGTCCATATCTCTTTGTCCTGTCCCAGGTCAAGGTCAGTAGGAAATGAAATGAAGGGTCTATCCCCAAATAAGTGAGGGATTGCAGACACCCACTAGCCAGGTCTTCAGAGAGTGGAGAGCTAAGGGAAGGACTTGTGGGTCTGAGTTCCCACCCAGGTGGGAGTGTGGCCTATGTATGTCAAGAACACCTGCCCCTGTGAACCACACATGCACAGGTCCGATAGAGCACAATCAAAACAGGCACTCACTGGGCAGCAGGCTTCTTCCTGCTTCCCCACAGGCAGGGAAAGAGCAGCTGAACTGGGTTGGCCTTGCTGGGTCCCGGCAAATGCTTCTGGTATTTTGCTACTGGCAAGAGCTGCTTTCTAACTATGCGGGTCTATGAAACCCAGGGTTGGAGGAGAACTTAGCAGCATGGAGCCCTTAGGACATAAATTATGTGTTAATGAACAGTTACTTACTGAATATGTGCAGTGTGCAAAAGACTGGGTCACAGCTACTGGGACCAGTGCTGGGATATACAGAGGTGACATCTCTCAGTGACAAGTACTCTGCATGTGGAAGGTTGGTCCAATTGGGTTGAAAGCCTCTGCTTCAGATGTGTCCTCCTGCATGCTACACACTTGTCTTTGGGAGGTGTGGATGTGCTCTATCCAGGTTGGCACTGACGGTGGCCACTTGGGTGACTCATTCAATAGTTCACTCAAGGTCCAATCTGCTCACAGTGCTATTGATCTTTCCCTTCCCTCCTCAACCAACCTTGTTCTTTCAGTACCACCCGTGCCAGGGCATCAGCTGACAGACCAGGTGGGGTGCCCATTGTGGGGGTCAGCACCCATGAATCCTGCGCACCCCTCGGCTCCCTCCCACTTCCTACACCTAGCTGGCGCCCCAGGCCCTTGCACTGAAATGACTGGAATGGTTGTGGAATGTCTCAGGACAGAGCTGAGCTGCTCTGCTGTGTCACAGGAAAAGCTGGGCACACCACATTCCTGCAGAGAATCCTGAACATCTGCACCCAATGCTGAGAAGCACAGCCAAGCAACAGGCTGGTAGAGTTGGGTCTCCTCAGATATTTCCTATCATCTTTTAGCAAGTATTGCAATCTTGGATTATCTGAACCTGGTTACTCCAGAGCCATTATGAGTGTCTCTGATTTCCACCCATAGGAAGAGTAAACAATGTGGATTAAAAACTCAGGGTGCAGGCCTAGCTGTACCACCTGTGGGCTGCTTTTCCCAGACAAAGTACACATCTTCCTAGGCCCACTGCTTAATCTGTGATGGGAATGCAATTCATCCCTACTAAGGTTGTTGCATGTAGGAACCAAGTGAGCTAAGATGCCTCGTTTGGCCAACATAGGAAGCTCAGAAATGACAGAAGTGTATTGATAGCCCTTCTGTTGCTGGGATATTTCGTGCCCTCAGTTTACAGCAGAGGTTTCTTTGGGTTTAGGTTTCAGGGAATCCAGTGTATGGTCAGCGGTACCAAGGCAGACACATCATAGTGGAAGAGCATGGTGGAGCAAAGGTGGTCACCAGAAAACGGAAAGAGAAGGAAAAGGCCAGAAAATGGCAGCCAGAGGTGATACACACCCTTCCAAGTCAGGCCTCCGGGGATACATTTCCTCCCCTGGGCCCTACTTCCCAGCAGTCGGCCAGCTAGAAGCCCCTCAATGCATCCACCCACGGAGGAGCTCATCATCGAGTCACCTCTCAATCTGGTGAAGTCTGAGATCAGGAACAACCACCACATATAGGTTTCTGAAACAGACACAATAGTTTGCCCTGCAAGCATGAATTCCTAGAGGAAGATACAAGTTCCTGATTGGTGTTTGGAGACTTTGGCAATAAGGCGACAGAAAATCATCACACCCTGGGCCTCAGGAGTTTAGTTAAATACGCACAATTTTATTGATTTGAAGAGATTAGGACAAAAACATTAAACCAAGTACAGGACAGAGCACCAGAGGCCATAGATCCCCACCATGCATGCTGTCACTCTTTCCTCCTACCGGGGACTTAAAAAATAGGGGAGAGGGAAGCATTAAGGTCCTTCTTGGTGCAGCACCATCTTCAGAGTGTAAAAAACCTCTCTCCTCTATCTCTTCCATTATCAAAATAGAACCAAGGGTGTCTCCATGGCCACCTCATCTCCTGATGATGAGCAGGAAGCTGCCCTCGGGGGACAGGGGCTCTGGCTGCACTGGCACAGGGCATCAGAGGTCACACACACACATGCCACGTACTAGGATAAAGCACAGATTCAAGTAACATTTACATACTAGAGTCCACGTGTTGCCTACCCAAAAAACAGGACCATTTCACAAAACATATACAGGCAGTAAAATCCAAACAACTGAGGTACTAGAAACACAAATATTTATGCCAAAAGAGTTCTGTATCATACAGCAATAGAAAAAAGCGGAATAAAAAGAAAAAAACATCTTTGCCACTCGAAATCAAGTAAAGCTATCTAGAAAAGCCAAATCAAAGGTTATTTCAGGGACAGAAATACTCAAACAAGAAAAAAATTATAAATGTTAACTACAGCATGTAACATGTCATCCCAAGTCGACCCGTAATTGAAGTACTGGCTTAATACATCACAATGTGACATTTTCCTTAATAAATAGAAGAGTTCTCGAGAATACAAAGGTGCGTATTGGGATAGAGAGCTGTTTTTATTTATATCATCCTAGCTTTCAGCTTATTATACTTCCCACTTTTTCTGTCCAAACCAGAGGGCCTTCGAAGCCAAAAGGATCATTCTTGGTAAAGAAAACTAAATAGCTGCCCTGTATTTTATACATGGGGGACAACCTGCTTTGTTTCACTAGTTATCCATCCAACAAAGACAAAATACGGAGCTGCAATCAGAATGTCTGCAAAAACGTCAGACTCCAGGAGCTTCCAGGACTCTCGGGCTGGCCGTTAAAGCACACCCACCATGCAAATGCTCACTGCTCTTGGGGAGGGGGAAAGCAAGTCAAAAAGGTGTGGGATTACTCTTTTCCTGTCATCCTCCTCCCTTCTTTCTCCCCTTCGGACCATGATAAGAGGAATGCTTTGGAAGTTTGACTTCTAATAGCTTCCTGCCACCGGCCAGCTGACACGACACAGAAGAGCCTGACACAGAACAGATTTCCCCCTTCAGAAAGCAATGCATCAATGGTCATTTCCTAACCAGGATACTAAATAGTTTATTCAGAAGATGAGCTGAAGAGAGCCATCAAGAGACACCGACTGGGTTTTTTGTCGTGGTTATTTTTCCTTTTATTTAGTTTAGCACCCAGGTTCCAGGTCTGTCTGTGTGCACCGAATTATTTTTTAAGCAAATCCCACTAATTATCACATAGGTGGTTGGCTTGTTTAAAAAAAAAAAAAATCCTCAGCCAATTGTTCCTTCCCTGAATCATAACAAGAAGTCAAATGCTAACAGTGCAATGCCAAGAGGTGTGTTTTGAGGCAGAGAGTTTTGATTCTATCAAGATCGGAAACTAGTTTGGAACGGAAGGAAAAGTGGGGGTAAGTGGAAGTGGTCCAACTGGCAAAGAGGGGTCTCCCAGGGTACATCAAGGAAGAGAAGCTCTAGGGGAACCCATCCATCCGTCTGACCCCAACCCTGACCCCATGTCTCTTGCCCAACCCCCCACACTAAGTGTTTAATCAGCTCTTTGAAGGTCTGCCTGCTTTGAACCGCAAAACTCGCAAATACGCGTGTCTCTCTGGCTGGCCAGCCAGGCCGTGTGTGTCCCTCCGGAAAAGGTGTCCTTTCTGGGGCCCTCTCTTGCTCCTGGTACCTGCTAAGTCTCTGCCTGGGACCGAGCTCAGTTAAAGAAAGGGTCCAAGTTCTCCTCCATGTTGACGTCCGGCACCAGCTGGTCCGACACTTCCTTAGCACCATACCCTGAATTCGAGACGCTAAAATCTGTAGCAAACCAAGGATGGTCCAGAATTTCCTGCGAGGTCAGCCGCTCGGAGGGCTCCCGCCGCAGGATGCTCCGGATCAGGCACTTGGCCTTGGGTGACAGGGTCTCTGGAATGTTGAACTGGCCTCGCCGGATCTTGCTGAAGAGGGAACTGGGCTCAATGTCATGGAAAGGGTAGCGGCCCACTAACATGGTGTACAGCATCACGCCCAGGCTCCATACGTCCGCAGCCTTGCCCGAGTAGCTGCCGCTGGTGTTCAGGATCTCCGGGCTGACGTAGGCGGGGCAGCCGTGCTTGTCAGACAGGGAATCATCGTCTCCCCGGAGGATGTAGGCATCTTCCAAGCTCTCCAGCTTGACCCGGGTCCTGCAAGGAAGAGAAGACACGAGCTACCAAGAGGGATCACTCTAGTACACCTGGCTCCTGCTGCAACACGTGGAAGATTCATTCATTCACCCGCTCATTCATTCATGGAATCTGAATGGTACTTACTGAGTACTTCCGGTCTTATAGAGCTGAGACACATTAGTAAACAAGACTGATAAGGTCTTTCCACGAAGCTTGCAGCATATTGGAGAACTCATCTCTTTATTAACTTAGCAAAGCATAGTTTGCATCCTAGTTGCCCTCTCTTGGTGGTAAAGGTAGAAGAGGTTATGCAATTTTCCTCAAGAGTCACCTTTGCATAACAATAATCCACAGGATCCGAACTCAGATCCCACCAGTTGAAAGGCCACAGAAGCTCCGTCCAAGACAGCATGGCCTGCAAAGACTTTTCCCAAGGCTGCATATTCAGAAGCATGCACCCAAGTGCTTCCAAGGTATCTGAGCACTCCATTCTGCAGATGAGAACACCAGAGCTTGAGGCCCTCTTTTTGCTGTACTAGTTGCCTCTACTGAGAAGAAGCAGAGTTTGAGCAGACTTGGGCACCCATTCTCCGAGACTTTCCAAGGCCAGCACCCCAGCGCCACCCACTGCTTTCGCAGTTTTCTGGCTGTCACTGCACCCTGCCCCTCCTGCAATGTCCAAGGTCCTTGACCAGCTAAGGCACTCACCCTGAGCTGGGTCACCCCTTCTCCCCAGCATGGCCCATTCACCCTGGTCCCACTCATCCTCCTGTCCTTTAAGGATGACGGGGGTCGTAGGATAGCAAAGACAGTTCTAAGCAGCAAAGGCAAGGCAGGAGGCATCACAATCCCTGACTTGAACTTATACTACAAAGCAACAGTAGTAAAATCAACATGGTATTGGAATCAAAACAGAGCCTAAGATCAATGGAATAGATTAGAAGATACAACCACAACTACAAACACACTCAACCACCTTATCTTTGATAAAGGGGCCAAATAGGTTCACTGGAAGAACGACAGTCTCTTTAATATAATGGTGTTGGAAAAACTGGCTCTCCATATGGCAAAAACTAAAACTAGACCCATGCCTGTCACCATGTACTCAAATAAAATCTAAATGGATCAAAGATCTAAATATTAAAACAGAAACACTAAATCTATTGGAAGACAAATTGGGTAGAAACCTTGGAGACATAGGAGTAGGTAGAGAATTCATGAACAGGACTCAAACCGCACGGGAAATACTTCCCAGAATCAATAACTGGGACCACCTCTTATTAAAAAGTTTCTGCATGTCAAAAGAAATCTCAAGCATAGTGAAAAGAAAAGCCACAAACTGGGAAAAAATCTTAGTGAACTGCCCCTCAGACAGAGGACTTCTGTCCAAAGAATTAGACAGGATTGGAATTTAAAAAGGAATTTAAAAAAAAAATCAGACCCCCAAGATTCAAAGACCCAATCCAAAAATGGGCATCTGAGATGAATACACACTTCTCAGATGAAGAAATACAAATGGCAAATAAATATATGAAAAAATGTTCATCATCATTAGTCATTAGAGAAATGCAAATTAAAATAGCACTGAGGTTCCATCTCACTCCAGAAAGAATGGCCAGGATCAAGAAAACCACCAACAACAAATGCTGGAGAGGCTGTGGGGAAAAAGGAACTCTGCTACACTGTTGATGGGAGTGTAAACTGGGGCAACCATTGTGGAGGTCAGTCTAGAGATTTTTCAGAAAGCTGGGATTGGAAGCCCCATTTGACCCAGCTATTCCACTACTAGGCATATTCCCAGAAGAACTGAGAGCATCATACCACAGTGATATATGTGCAACCATGTTTACAGCAGCACAATTTGTAATAGCCAGATCTTGGAAACAACCTAAGTATCCATCAACTGAGGAATGGATAAAAAAGTTGTGGTATTTTTATACAATGGAGTATTACTCAGCTATAAAGAATGATCACATTGGGATACATCTATAAATAAATGGATGCAGCTTGAGACCATACTCATAAGTGAAATAAATCAAACTCACATGTATAAATACCAAATAGTTTCCCTAGTGTAAGAAATGATAAGAATACATAAAAGTATGTGGTAATCATGATTCCCAATCATATTGGTTTGAAGCCATATAATGTTTTCACTCATTAATTGGAATGGTTTTAATCTGGGTTGTTCGATTTTATTGTCTGTGATAGTAAGGAAAGCTATTTTGAAGAAAACAAGACATCATAATAACTAGTGCTGATTTAATATCATCTTGTTTTGAAGTTCCATCAAGCTGTTGTTCGTCTGTTTCCATTGGTTTTAATGTGTTGTATCTTATTATATTTTACTATATGTGATAGTACAAACAAAATTTTTTATAGGCAAAGAGAGAATATAGACACTGTTATTCGTTTTCTGTTAGCTAGTTCTAAATACCCTGCAATGCTTTCATATTCTTGAATGGCTTCACACTGCCTTGATATGTTTGATGCTATAGTATATGAAGTTATACTCAAATATTTCAAGGAAAGAGACACTATGGTGACTACTATTATGTCAGGTTATCTGGTGGTGAAACGATGCTTAAATTGTTCGGTTCTGACCTGGGTTGTTGTTGCTATGTCCTCTTTTATCTCAATCTCCCTTTTTTTCCTTTTAAAAAAATTAATTTATTTTTTCTTATTTTTCTTAATTAAGGGAAAACTAAATTAAAAAACAGCAGGGTACATTATAGTAACTTTTTTGTTTTCCTATTAACCTGATTTGAACCCCAGTATTGCTCTCCCCATCTTGTTCTGACTGATTTTACTATATTCTGTTTTGTTTGATAGCATCAAGTCTGAGGGTATAGGCAACCACTTTGAAGGCAATAAGATTTACTATGATGCCCATTATGGTTTGACTATTATCTTCTTTTGAAGTCCTGTAAGGTCTCCAATGTAGGTTTTATTGGTCTTGTTCTGTACTGTTTTGTTCAATTCTATTATACCTGATGATATAGGCAACTCTTTTTAAGGAAATAAGAGGCATAATGGTAACCATTGTTGATCACTTGGTATTCTGTTTTTGCATCATGTACTATGTCCATCCTTCTGTTCTAACTGTCTCTGTTTTGCTTTGTCACATTTGGTTGTTTTAATTTTTTTTTTCTTTCTTTCTCTTCAAAAAAAAAAAAAAGTTTTAAGAACTGTGGGAGTAATAAAACCCAAAAAGTGTAACTGTTATTGTAAAAAAGAGAGGAAAAGAAAGTGATCTAAAGGATACAACTGCATGTATATTTAAGTGTGTAAGATAGAAAACCATATTACTGAGTTTTTGTTGGATCACTGAACAGAACTGTCTGCAGTCTCACTGTATGGATGTCCACTCTGTATGCTTTAATTTTGTAATTTGGACAACTGTTTCTAAGATGACAATATGTAATCCATTAACTAGTGATTTCTTACTGTATATTTTTTTTTCTTGAAGTTCTGTATTACTTGTACCCTTTTACTGCTTTGTTGTTATTGTTGTTGTTGTTGTTTTTCTCTTTAAATTAAAAAAAAAAAAGATGACTAGGGTTGCTGATCTGAAGATGGGTTTTCCGGGATGCACTGGAGCAAACAGGTAACAAAACTCACATTAACCTCCAAGATCTCAACACCTACAGCTCATCGGTCCTGTCTGAGATCATCACTGGGTGTGATGTAAAGTTAGGTGTGGTGGCAGATGCCAATAATCCCAGCACTGCTGGAATTGAGGCAGGAAGATTGTGAGTTTGAGCCTGGACAACTTAGCAAGATCCTGTCTCAAACATTAAATTAACCAACAGCTGGGGATGTCACTGAGTGGCTGGTGCTGGGCTCAACCCTTGGTACTGCAAAACTAAACAGGAAGTATGTTGGTTTCACAGTTAAAATTTACCATGGGAGAAGTCGAGGGCAGGATGCAGAGCAACTTACTCAAGGCTACACTTGAACTTGGAAATAACAGAGGACCATGTCCTCTGCCCCACCTTCCCTCTGCAGCCTGGCTGCCTCCTGTGATCTGCATTTACTCTCTCCTACTGTTGCTGGAGGGGAGAACTACACCCTACTACCTTCAGAGCCTGAGCCCCAAGCCCTCCTCCTCCAGGGCCACAAGAGCTCGGTTAATCCCATCAGGCCCAGGAAGGGTTGGAAGGAAGGTGACCAGGGACAGGGCAGGTCTCAGGATTAAAGGGCACCTGTGATGTCATCTGTCCCTCATCCTGCCTTCCCGGAAGTGCAGCAGAGCTCAAAGGTGCTTGGGGACAGGCCCAGGGCCGCCCAGAGGCTGGGCTGGACCTCAGTCCAAGCTCATCTGCTGCTGTTTCTCCTTCTCACTCCACGCACAGGCTCTGGATTCTGGGTGATCCCAGTGGAGGGAGTTAAATTCATGGCACCCGCAGCACAGCTGCTGAGCGCTCTCAAGCAAAGGTTTGGGAAAAGCAAGTCTGGCTGGATTCCAAGATCCAACACTGTTTCCTGATCCTCATTTCCACCAGGAAGAGAAACAGCTTTGGTCCTGAACAACGACCCTGGGCTAGGAGCTCTGAAAGCAATTTCAGTCCTGGCTCCATCTCTCCCTGGCTGCACCTCTGTGGCTAAGTTACTCAACCTGTTTCTCAGCCTTAAACAGGAACATCGGAGAAGGCAGGTTTTTTAACTTAAAACTATTTTTTTTTTCAGGTACTAAGAACTGAACCCAGCCAAGGCCTTCACACTATATCTGCAGCTCTTTATTATTTTTTAAATTGTGAGACAGAGTTTTCATTAAGACACTCAGATCAGGCTTAAACATGTGATTGCCCTGTCTCAGCCGTGCAGACTATCAGGATTACATGCAGATACTACCATGCTTGGCTTCCACTGTCCTCCTCTGTGTTGGTGTAAGTCTGCAGCACATAATAAACATATTCATCCTGGGAAATTGGCATGCATATTACCTTGATCTTTTTTACTTAAAATTTCTTAATGTAGTAGAATACACATGACATCAAAGTTACTGTTGTATTTAC